TTTTTTACCCTTGTTACGATGAATGAAAGTGGTGATTTCCGTAGGATGAACAAACTGTTTTTTTTTTAACTAAAAGTAAAAAAATTGAATAATGCGGAGAAAAGCTTTACAAATTTAATTAATAAACTTGTGCTTGATTCCACATCTAGTCAGGAAACTCAATGGATTTTCATTAAAAAAAAGTAACGACTCCTAACGTAGATACTTCAAGGTTTTTTTTTAATTCTTTTTTAGTAGAAAAAGAAGTGTTTGATGTTATCGCAGTGAAGAATTTTTTTTTTAATACATAAAGCATATAATAAGGGTGCAGGCGAGCTGGTGAATGTTAACCATGTTGAAATAACCTGAGACTGGAGTAGAATAGATACATCAAAACGTAGAAATCACGGAAAACAGACAGGACGACGTCTAAAACTTAGCTAACTCGTTTATTTAGTTCACCATTTTACAGTCTCAAACTCATGCATACTCGTGCCTAATTAGCATGACTTCAAAATTTATCGTCGGAATATTTGCCATCTGGCAATGTCGGCATTGTCCAGCGTTTTGTTAACTTTTTTCCAGCACGCCCGACCAACGACTGTACACACCCAACCGCGTCAATAATTTTTTTCTTTTTTTTTTTTGGGGGGGGGGGGGATTAGTTTTGCAGTTTGCAATAGACGAATGCCCCAAATTCATGATGCGAAGATACCATCATAGATTCTGGGGTGCGCGGGAGATCATACTTGCCCCAATAGCATCCCCGCTGGCAACTGCCGGCAGAAGTTACGTTTTAGGGATACGCGCTTGACTGACAGATGGCGACGAAAACCCTGACGGGTCAACGCTCTAGCTCAAGCTGGGGCGGTCGGTCGGTATGATACCAACTTTCAGCAAGCACCATCACCTCTCTACCCATCGTAGCATCATCTTAAACACAGTTGTTTACGTAGGGTGACCCAAAAATAACCGGAATGAATTTCTGAAGATCAGGCCGTTCGTAGTACCGGCTTCCGCCCCTAGGAGCGCTTAGTGGCACATCTTCCTAATCAGTTTGGCGACCGATGTTGTCTGCTAAAGTTTTAGTGGCGTGTTGTAATTTCTTTCCCCCGAGCGCTTTAAAATATTCATTCGTTTTTTGCAATCTCTGATCTGAAGAAACAGCGTCCGGCCATGAAATTCAGTTTTCTTTTTTTTTTTTTTTTTTTGGAAAACGGCGGCAGAAGCTTTTGCAATGCTTCAGACAGCTTACAAAGCAAATGCTATTAAGAAATCGCAGGTCTACGAACGGTTTTCTCGCTTCGAGGCCGGTGAAATATTGATCGACGACCAACTTCGTTCAGGGCGACCCTCAACCTCCTCAACTGAGGAAAATATCGAGAAAGTTCAGGCATTGTTTACTTCTAGTTTGTTCGTCCTAGCAGAGCTGCAAATCAGGTACTTTTCCTGAGAGTTCTGCGACGCTTGCGCAACTCTGTGAGGCAGAAACGTCCCGATTTGTGGGAAAGAAGGGAGTGGTGGTTGAATCTAGATAATGTTCCAGCACACGCTGTCCTGTTGGCGCAACAAATTGTGAAAAATGGCATGAAACCTCTTGTCTACCTCCGCATTCACCGGACCTTACCCAGTGTAACTTTACATTTTTGTTTGCCCGCATGAAAAAAGTCCTGAAAGAAAAACGGTTTGTGGATTTGGAAAGTCCTTTAAATCAGACATTGCGAAAAACGAGGAATTTTTTTAAAGCCCTTGGGGAAACAAATTACAACATGCCGCCGCTGGTCAACAAACTGGCTCGGACGGGGTTCTGTATAGCGCTGCTAGCGGTAGAAGCCGGTAGTACGAACGACCCGCCCTCCAGAAATTCATTCCGGTTACTTTGCCCCCCCACCCCCCGCACACCTTGTACAAGCCTTACACTTGTCTTCATCACATCATGTTGGTTCTACTTGTTATAGACAAGAAAAACATAATCAATGGTGAGAAATGCGCGCTCCAAAAGAGTATACTGTTAGCAGAAAAGCACCACTATGGTGGCTGATGTGACGTCACTGTAAGCCATAGACAACGTTACTAGATTACCTCAGTTGTCGAACTCTCGCGGAAGGGGGTACCCTTTCTCACTTACTTCAGTCCGCCTCCCGTCGTTTCAAGGGCCATCTAGATTTTCGTTTCAAAACTCCCTGGTCTATAGAGTACGGCAGAACGCCATCTAGACGCTGCACTTCGAGACGCGTTACATAGAATATGCTGCAGTTACCATTAGTTACCATAGCGGCCGTGCGGCGCGTCGAACGACGGGAGGCTTGAAGGAGGTACTGCTCGTGCAAGTAGCGTCTATGAGTAATTCCGTAACTGATCTAATATAATAACGTTGTGCATGAACAACGTTATACATGAACTCAGCTCTGTTACGTCACGGCACGGTGGTGGCGCGTCGGGCCCACTTCCGGTCTGGGGTTGTGGGCAGAAGTCACCATGCGGGACGTGCATTCCTGCGTTGTTTTGGAAGAAACCACACAAAAACCTGCCTTTTCGTCAAAATGCCGCGACCTGGTTTGTATTAAAAGAGTCGGGAAAGGTTTGAAGGTAAGTTTTCATGTGTTTTCTGAGGACGTGGATTGGGGCCGTGAAAAAGGAAAACCAGACGCCGTCCGAACACGATTGCTTGTCTGGGAAAGGGTTGAATTCACGGATACTTGTGGTCGTCAGAATAATTTGTTTTGTTCAAACATGAACGCGGGAAAACCGCCAAGTTGTACGGACCACCTGCGGACTACGTTCAGTGCATCATCAAGTTGAAAAGGCCGCCTGATCGTTCGAGCTGTCGTCTGCTCTCTCAACGTTTCTGCTTGTTGACGTATGCTTCTTCTAACGACAGCGGCCTGCAGACCAAACTTTGACCCAGTAATTGCAATAAGAAGTAAGTGCAGGCCTCAAAAGACTTTTAAGTTTGAAGATTGGTTGGGGTAAGTACGCTGGGTGTAAACACTAGATACAAGGAAATGTTGATAAGTGTTACAGGGGGTCACTACAGACTTGTTATGCCTGATTCACTTGGTCCGATTCTGCTTGCGAATTTCAGTGTCCACGTCGACATCTCAGATACGGTTCACGCTTTTGCAGCCCAAGCGACGTCATGACTGGAAATAGCGAGAAGAACCTCATCATGCGAATAAGGCTTTAGCGTCTATTCTGCGGCGTCCACGTGAAATGAATCGCCGCATGTCACTATATTCACGCTAAGTTTTGCGGTGTAACGAGCATCGTTGATTTCGCTGAGGCCGCTAAAGTAGTCAGACGTTGCCAGGAAGACGGAGAATCAACTATTCCAACACGAAAAAGAGCACGGGGGCTCACACCGACGCCGACAACGTCGCATTCCGATGGTTTGTTCACGGGCGACGACGAACTTCTAGCTCACTCTCCATCGCGCATGCGCGGCGCCGGTGACGTCCACTAGGGGCGCTCGGGTTTGTTTGTAAACATGAGTGTGTCTATTAGATTAGCTCAGTTACGGAACTGCTCAAAGAAGGTGCTTGCACGAGGGCTACCCGCCTCACTCCCAACGACTCGCCCAAATTGACTTGTCTCTCGTCGTTCGACGCGCCGGACGGCTGCTATGGTAACTGCAGTGTACTCTAAGGAATACGTACGTTTCGAAGCACATCGTCTACATGGAGTTCCACTGTACTCTATCTATGGAACACACAGTTATGAGAGGAAAATCCTATGGCGCTTCAAACGACGGGAGGCTAAGGCCTTACGGGTGGCGCACTGAGGTGGGTGAGGGGGAAACCCCCTTCTGCGGGAGTTCCACAACTGAGGTAATCTAGTAACGTCGGCGATGGATCTCATGATTCCATGAGACTTGTGACGTGCGTGTTATCAGAACAATAGGACAAATTATCTCGAGGGCAGTGTCCGATCCACGGCTATCAAGATTGAAAATCAAGAAAACCGTGCACTCTCAAGTGCTAATTGTAATGCCGCCGCAGGTCTATGAGTATTACATTGTCTTCATCCCGTGAGATTTGTGACGTGCGTGAGACTTGCACGCAAGTCACAAGTCTTACGGGATTAAGGCAATGTAACACTTATAGACCTGCGACGGCATTACAATTAGCACTTGAGAATATACGGGCTTCTTGGTCTTTAACCTTGATAGCCGTGGAGAGGACACTGGCATCGATATAATTTGTTCTATTGCTCTGATAACAACCTTAACCCCGGGTCAGCACCGCTGAAAAAAAAACAAAAAAAAACACTATGGTAACTGACAGCATAAAGGCACTGTCACACTGAGGCAACACGACGGCAACAGCAACACAACACGTTGTCCAACAGTCGGGCAACTTGTTGCTCGCCGTTGTTGCTCGCTGCTTCACCAACTAGCCCAAATTTCAACAGTATTACAATGCCCCCCCCCCCCTTTTTAGAAAAAGAAAACACAAAAAAAACGTTAGCAGAGCAAATAAAATGTCATCCAAACAAAAGTGATACTTTATTGAGGGTTGCTCTTATAAATAAAAAAGTTAAATTCCTTCGTAAATGTTTAGTCAGCGGAAAGTTAGCCTGTGAAGATTATTTTATGACATTGATGCACGCTGTAGATGACAAATGTATCCAATGCAATACGACTGCCGGCCTTAGGTCTTTAACGAACATCATGTAGTAATAATACACGCCAGTAGAATATTTATCCAGACCGAAAACGATAGGGGTGTTGTATCTATATATTGATAAATACGTGTAAAACAAAGTGAAGCTGGATATCAACGCCCAGAGAAAAATTGAAGCTCCCGTGAGGCTCGGGACCGGACTATTTATTTGTTCGTAACTGTCGTAATCTTCCCTTGGCTGGTACACATCCGTTGCAATACTTTCAACCTTTACGCCATCATCGGATTAGGCCCAGGCAGCTTATCAGCGGCGGGCGTTTTGCCTCGGTCCGCCAGATAAGACATAAAGGCGCGCTCGCAAACGCAGCAGCATTCAGTCCCTTCAGTATGATTATCGTCCTCATACTTCCCGTGGCGTTCGCCGTCGCGCATGGTCAAATGTTGTCCGACGACGAGCGACTTGTCAAGGCTAACAATGAGTTCGGCCTCAACCTCCTCAGGGAGCTCTCGTCCACCCACCCAGGAGGCAATGTCTTCTTCTCACCAAGCAGCGTCTCGGCCGCTCTCGCTATGGTCTACGCCGGAGCCGGAGGACTGACCGAAGCAGAACTTTCGGCAACACTGGGACACGCTATGATGGGTCTCACGGACCGAACCGCACTGATGTCGGCGTACAGGAAGTTGCTTGCGGACAACCAGTACCAAGCCGTCGCATTGGACATTGCCAACGCCGTGTTAATCCGGAGGAATTTCCGGGTGCTCGATGGTTACAAGAGGGACCTTGCCGACGTCTTCAAAGCAAACCTGACATCGGTCGACTTCGCTCATCAAGGTTCAAAGGTGGCGTCTGAAATCGACCAGTGGGTAAAACAGAAGACCAAAGGCAAAATCCAGAACATTGTTGAAGGCGGCCTTCCCGAGGATACCGCCATGTTTCTGATTAGCGCTGTGTACTTCAAGAGCACCTGGGTCACCAAGTTCGACTCGGCGAAGACGAAGCCACGACCTTTCTATAACCACGGAACTGAGAGTTCAGACCGCCAGACAATGGAACTCATGAGTCAAGTGAAGTTCGGACGGCTTGATAGCCTCCGATCAAGAGCCGTGGAGATTCCTTACAAGGGCGATCGTGTTAGCATGGTTGTTCTGTTACCAGACAGCAACACTGGACTACCGAGAATACGGGACGGTCTGACCGCTGAAGTGCTCAAGGAACTCGAAGACAGGATGTGGTGGACGACAGTTTATTTATTTATTTATTTATTTATTTATTGTACCCTCAGGGCCCGAAGGCATTACAGAGGGGGAGAGCGTAGGCAGGGAAAATATAACAATTCAGCAATACTAAAACAAATAAAAAGTGAACAAGCTAAGGTTGCCGAAATTCGAGCAAGTCAAAGAATACAATTTCGTGCCTATACTGCAAAAACTTGGCTTGAAGTCCGTATTCACTGCTAACGCCGATCTCTCGCGCGCTGCTGACCCCGGCTTATTTGTCTCTGACGTCAAGCACAAGGCTATGATTGAGGTGAGCGAAGAAGGCACTGAGGCGGCAGCTGTGACTACCGTTCGAAACGTGAATGGGGGACGCGGTAGATCAATCGCTGTACCGCAAACCCGGCGTTTTCACGTAGAACACCCTTTCTTATTTTATATACGTGACAAGGTTACCAACCGCGTCTTGTTTATGGGGGAAATTAACCGCCTCTAACTGCCTGTGCCTTAAACGAGGGCAATACACTCAATGCTCAACCGTTTAAAAGTGTTTTGTGTTGGTATACGTTCGCAGCCAAACACCACCTCCTCTTAAAAAAAAATACAAAACAACAACAACAACAACAACAAAAAAACAAAAGTATTAATTGCATTAGCAACTTATGACGTCGGGGATTCGGGTTGGTCCCGAAGCAACAATGAAAATTAGTGAATTGTGCCTCTTCGGTCACGGTGACTGTGGTGAAAATATTCGCTATTTTGGGTGGGAACCGACGACCGGTTTAGTGTAACTTTTTTGATCTGAAAATAGATTGAGGGGCAGCCTTTAAAGAGCCTTACCTCCGGCGTCTACGCTAAGCCAGATGACATTTGCTTTTCCAGCTGGCACTTTGGCGGCCATACTTACTTGCGTTTGTTTCAAAACGTACAGTACCTCTTATCTATTTTAAACAAACCATGAAAGCTATACTTTATTTACTCGAAACGCTGTGAAAAAAGAAAGCGGTTTGTTTTCATTTTCAGAAATAGCGCTATGTTAATATCTAAAGGGCAGCTAGTCCCTCTAAATAAGCTGCGCTTCGGAGTAACGACCCTTGGCCATATTGTGTCTTAAGATCATGGTTGCCAGTTATCTTAAGCTTTATCTGGAATCACAGGAAACTCTTTTCCGCCCTCCACAAATGTTTAAACAGTTCGCGGCAGAGCAAAGCAATATTACACGACCTTTCTAACACCAAATCTAATACTGAGGCAGTCGCACTTTTGAGTCATGACGATCGGCAGTTGCGTCTGCTGTGCTACCAACCAAAATGGAGGCGCCCACAACAATGTCGGGGAACGGAGTGCCGATACCCTAAGCGCGGCTCATTTGGTGGCCCTAGGGGCAGCCATAACAGGTTCATAGTAGCGATGATAAGCCGGTGATGGGCTTGCTATTTTGAAGCACCATTTTCATCAATGTTATTTTGATATTTTTTGTGACCACAGCGAAAGACGATTGAAGCAAAACTGATTCAAAATACATCTTAGAGTTCATTTCATGTCTGCTAAATTTCTTTCGTCAAAATCGGGTTCTAACAATGTTCGTGTGGTTTATCGCTGAGTTTATGAAGATGCTAATAAGCGAAGTTACGTTTGAATGAAAGCTCTCATTAAGGAATTCGATACTATATAACGACCACCAATCTATTGCAGAATTTAAAATTTTGTTGTTATGACCTTACTATTAATTTTACAGTCTGAAAAAAATTAAAAAAAAGTCCGTGCTGCTGAAAACTTAAAGTTGCTCAGCAAAAGCTTTATTTGTGCTTGAATTTACCTGGCTTGCCTCCATGTGCTTAGAATGCCAATAACACAATCCTATGACACAGACTCTAACCGACATATTACGCCAAAGAAACTAAAAGATTGTATATGCCGTGCGTCAAAAAAAAAAATCTATCATCAATACTCGGCCCACGGATCCTCCTGAAAAGCGCAACGGCGTACGATGATGATGGTGGTAGCAGTAAAGCTTTTCGGCTAAAGCAAAACTGATCAACAGAACTTAAAAAAAATGGCTAGATGCGTGTGCGTTTGTTGGAAAGTAACTTTTTGGCAGGTCACAGTGGAAGCCGACATTTCTACGAAAAAAATGATTTGAGGAATGTCATTTTTGTGGCTATTTTATAGAGGTTAATTTCTAGTTATTTCTTAAGCTTTTATTACATTGATTTTTTCATATCTAGGTGTAAGGGATGTTCTCTCGTGACACTGTCTTAAAAAAAAAAAAAAGAGGAGTGTTATTTTTGGAGTCCTGTCATTGTATCCTGAAAAATTCACCTTCCGTCACCTACTCATTGTTGCTGTCAAATATTTGGGTCTGAAAACAAACAATAAAACTATGAATAAAATATAAATATTCAGTAAAAAAAAACACTTCTCGTTGAAGGTCACGTTGATGGCAGATGGCACTGGTAATGTAGTCCCGTTCACGGACGACAGGTGATGTCCTTCTCAAGAACGTGCCGTCATGTTCCATGTTGTGGACTCTGTGGGTTCCGGCGGGAGTCGGGTTTCACGAATGGACATTACAACCCTCGGAACCATCGACGACTATAATTCCTTGCCAAACGAGTCTGGATCGAAGATTGGGAAGCAAGTTCCAAAGTTGCTGCCTTTGTAGAGTGCGCAGAAGCACCGAGGTTCACATTCAATAACCATGTAGCCTCCACAGAGCTGACCGCATTCTGCCATAAACTGACCTTGCACCTGAAAAGTGCGGTACGATAGACAAGTCAGGACGACAAAGAAAAGAGCCGCACCAGACCTTGAGTTCACGATCACCATTTCTCTCGACGGTAGTTCGAGCGCCGTAACCTATCCACTGTATGCTGGCGGTGTAGCTTAGTAAGACGTAACGGTATCAGAATTCGTCGAGCCGAGTAGAACATTGGTGTGTTCCTCCACTTCAACCTCCTTTTTTTTTCTTGGAGTTCTAGCATAGTAAAAGAGACTGCTTTCGGAAGTCACGTGCCCATTGTTAAAAGGTATGAAACACTGCGGAATGGCGGAAAAAGCGACACCACATAATGTAAGTGTTTTTTATCCTTTCTTCGACTCTTGTAGAAATTAAATTTCATTTGTTGAGTTTTTAAGGTTCCAACGTTGGCGGTGTCTTTTTGTGTCCGCGATTGTGCAGGGGATCCACAGCTTGCAACACTGGGCACACTTTCGAAAGTCAGCCCCACGGGATATCTGGTGTCTCAGCAGAAGATGAGCAATTTAGCCACTGCAGTACACCCGCTAACCAGGGGTCGTTAACGAGCACCACGCAATAGTGATACACGACCGCAAGACGGTGTGATGCTCAACCAGATCGAAACGGGCAGGGATGGGGATTGAACTCAGGATACCTGGGTTGTGCAGCGCGAGCTTTCACTCCCCGTGCTCCGAGCTAGCGTAGTGCCTCTGTTGATTGAAATTTGACCAACGAAAACACACTAATTAAACGCAAAGTAATAACAAATTCATAACTTCCTGGAGGCAGACGAAAGCTTAGCGTCTGCTGTAATGAAAACGTCGTGATACTCCGTGGCATTGTGTTGGTCTTGATTACTACGACTAATTAGATATAGTCAAATAAAAAGCGGGGAAGGAAGTAAGGGAGGTTGGAGGGCGCTTGGCGTGGACAGGCATCTCGTCCCGAAAACTCTCCGAGTCAACGCCCGCCAGTCCGGACCGTCAAGGTCGCCAACTCCGGCCCCAGGAATGTCATCTCTCTCTCCGAGAGCAGGAGGGGTGGCGACGAGAAGTTGCGCGGCGATCTTCTCGTGGCAAAGGCCTCCAATATTTCCCGCCCGTACCGGTTCTTGTGCGCCCCCAGGACGCGGGTGGTGGGGAAAGCGGGGGAACACTGGGCGCATGCCCAGTGTGCCCCTGCTTTAGCAGATGTTCCCCCATTTCAGCAGATGAATCACGGCCGGTAAGAGCCCTTGAAGACGCTCCACGGATGACCATTTGTTCGTGACCGTTTCGAACGGCGTCTCGCGCTTCTCTCTTGGCCGCCGATCCCCGACATAAAGCCCCTTGATAAGGACATTTTACAAGACAGACGCAAACACGTCGAGGGGCTTTACAAAGGCAAGCCTGTCACGCTACGTAGTGAAGGGTCTATTATCTAGGCCGGCAGCGCGAATATAGACGATTTGAAGCAGCTGTGTATGGGTGCCGCCATAACCGACCTTCAGTTTTTGTTTCCTCTTATTCTGTTCGCTTCACTTCATCATTATCACAGCAGGCCAGGTTATTGCCATTTTAGGTTCTACTGTGTCCTTCTCTCCAGCATAGGCCTTTGTGGAGGCTCGTCAACGCCCGCTTCATTGGCTCGGCATCTCGTTAAGACAAGAGAAGTTCGGCGATGGTGGCTCAATCTGGAGCGTGTTTAAAGCTTCTATATATGGTTGTGTCCTCCTATGGCTTAGGAACCCACTAACAAACAAACAAATTAGTCTTTCGTTGTTTTTAGATCAGGAGTTTTAATCTGCCAAATCCCCACCCCTGCCCGTTTCGATCTGGATAAGCATCGTACCGGCGTGCGGTCATGCATCACGACTGCGTGGTGCACGTTAAAGGCCCCAGGTTAGAGGTTACATGCACCGGACTGGCTAAATTGCTCATATACAGCTGGGACGCCAGACGCCCTCTGAGGCAGACTGACCTTCGGTTGTATAAGCATGCACACAACAATTTGCTCTGCTTAGTCTTCCAGAACATAGCAAGATTGTTACACACTGTAGATCAGCAATTTAGTCAGTGCAGTACGACTGCTAGCCTGGGGTCTTTAACGTGGACCACGCAGTAGTGATACACAATCGCACGCCTGTACGAGGATCATCCATATCGAAACGGGCAGGTGTGGAGATTGAGCCAAGGATGCCTGGGTGCTGCAGCGCGACCTTACGCTCCACGTGCTCCGAGCTGGTGTGGGCCAGCCCACTCGGCCACCGATCCACTATACTTCGTTTCACATGATCTCCGAGCGAAGCCAAAGCTAGAAGCGCGAGACCAGCGCTTTTTGCGTTTCTCCCCAGATCGCTCGCTCAAGCAAAGCCTGAACGCACGGAACTTTCGCGCTCGCGCTTCCAGCTTTGCCTTCGCTCGCACATAAGGTGAAACGAGGTATAGCGTCGGGGCCCCCTTTACTACAACACCCTTTCAGCGCAAAAAAAAAAAAAAAGACGATCCTGCATTGCGCGTGCCGCACGGTTCCACCTTCTACCAGCCTCGCTGCAGAGTGATTTGTCTCTTCTCTGACAAGATGAGCAGGTAAGACATTTATTCCTGGCTTTGCGCAGAGATGACCGCGCTAGTGCGGGGGTGACATATCTGCTATCTAAAAAAGTTCCACTGCGTGAGGTACCGTGTAGTTGCGGGTGAGACTCCGTACATCAGATATAGCTTGATGTGCGTTTGTTAGTCCTTATATTTTTAATTAGGACACTTTATACCAAATCTTCATTCGTGACGCAAATGACCAGAATGTATAAATAAGGAGATTTACATTCAAGGCAGTTCACGCAATAATAATTTGTTAAATGTGTGGATCGCCTGTCAATATTGCCCGATCAGGCCGAGCTCCATTCGCCCCGAGGAAGCCACACAGGGAGCGCTGTAATAAAGAAAGTTTTAATTGATAATCATGGTTAATGCTGAGGAGGGCCAAGGCTGCCGTGTGGTCCGGGTCTCTGTTTGGAGTCGCTGCCCGGCACCGGCTCTTCCGTATGTCTCTGCCTTCGGAATTGTCTGTCCTCGCGCACCCACCACGAGCCTCGCCCTTTTCTTGCTCTTTGCCGCTTTCGACGCCGTCCCTCTACGTGCAGTGCTGCTCATTGTCCCCCACAAATGTTATCTTTGCTTGATTGCAACAATTTCATTATTTTAACCGGGTTCCTTTGCTTTTTTTGCACCGAGTTCAATTTCAAGAGAGTACATTAACACTATACGACGCTCAATGACAAAAAAAGCGCTATATATATTAAATCTTGGGTATCTTCAGTATGCCTTGAAACGCTATAATCTTATTAAAGTTACTTTTTGTTCTTTAACAGGTAGACTTCTAGATACCAACAAGACACCTGCAGGTTAGTTTTATAAAAAAAAATATATTGGTATGTCCTTGAACAGATAACCATTTAACCTTCATTTCAGGACCTGTTCTACGATGCTTTCACTAAACACATTCCAGAGGCTTGGAGTCATCCTTGCCCTGATAATCGACTGTAGCTGCGAGTGCCCTAAAGCGAAGTTCACTAACGCTACAACCGATTTCGGCTTCAAGCTCCTAAGGTCAAGCTTCGCCAACACCAACGAAAATATGAACGTAGTTTTATCACCCACTGGCGTATCCACGCTCCTTGCCATAGTCTACTCTGGAGCAGGGGGAAAGACCGCAGAAGAACTTTCGACACTGCTAAATTACACAGATTCTGAACTGAACCGGATTGAGGCTGTTTTGGCGTGTCAAAGGAACATTCTAGACGATCCACAAAATAACAGCACAGCGTTCGATGTAGCCGACGTGATTCTGGTACGAAGCAACGTGACTATCCTGCAGAACTACCGAAAGACTGTCCTTACGGATTTTGCGACGGAGATCGTTGGCGTCAACTTTGAAAAAGCGGGAGCGAAGGTGGTGTCTGACACCAATGACCTTGTGGCAGAGAGAACCAGCGGAAAGATAACAAACATCATTGGAGGCGAGTTGGGCGCAGATGACCAGATGGTCCTCCTTAACGCGGCGTACTTCAACGGTTCTCTGAAGATGCCGTCCACCACGAGTTACTCTGCACAGCTTCCGTTCTACACCGAGGGCATTCACTTGACGTCAGCGGAAACCATAGTGTGTACGGGCCCGATGCTTTATACTTCAGAAACTGGCCTGAATTCGCAAGTTGTAGAACTGCCCCACACCGATGGCAGGCACAGCTTGGGCATCGTGTTGCCACACACCAAGAGAGGACTGTCCAACTTGACACACGCCATGGACGCTAGAAGCTTCGCAGAAATGCGCAAGAACTTGAAGCCGGTGACAGTGAGCCTCACACTACCGAGGTTCAACTTTACTACTACTTGGGATCTCGCAGGACCCCTGATCAGACTCGGAGCGGCTTCGTTGTTCAGTGACGCCGATTTGACGGGAATTACCAGTGACAAGGGGCTGCGGGTGACGGAGATGAGGCACAAGGCAAGGATTGAGGTGACAGAAGAAAGAGCAGTATCCCCTGGCGGAGGCGCCATTGCCGCCCCCAAGGCGGTTCCGGTCTTTTTCCACGCCAGACACCCCTTTCTCTTTTATGTGCTAGATCATAGAACCCAACGCACGATTTTAGTGGGACTTGTGCAACAACTCTAAGCTTCCAATGTTTCCCGAACATTTTAAGGTAACAGTTTTTGTTTTCGCCTGTTTGAGAACGAGGGCAGATTTGACTCAAAAATGTGCTCGGCGTCAATAACAATGGTGTGTTCCTGTTTCTGCCTCAGTAATAAAAAATATGTTTGTTTTATTTTATTATTACGCTGTCACTTCCATTTACACGACGAAATACAAGTATCCTTCTTCAATGTCAATAATCGTGGTCCAAGCTCGCGCCTGCACACACATTAAGGTAGCAAGGAAAAGGCGCACTACACCGGATGGCCAGGGGCCTACACTCTTAGAAAAAAGGGTATCGATAGTCCTCCCTTAGGGGAGCAACGGTCTCGTAACCTATGTTCCTTTAGAAAGGGAGAAACTTTCGTCCCTGAAGCAGGGGAGCAACTAGTTCCTCCGTCGCCAGCATCTCATTATGGCGGCCCTGAATCGAGCAAATCGAGCTCAATAAGGCTTAGCGACGACGCTAGGTCTCTTGTACGGGACGAGAGGAGCAGCAAATAAAAGCGTAACACGAGCTTTACGCGAACTGTGTTTATTTCCGAAGCCAGATTCCCACCACAGGTACAGAAACTTGAGTTTCGAAAGCAGTTACTCAGTCTTCCCGTTGACAGCACTGCCATGTTAAACGGAGACACCCGATAACCAGTTACTTCGCGCACTTTACGTCTTACGTACATTTGGTGTTCCTCGAGTCACAATTCCTTCGTCAACCGCACATCACGGAGAATGGCAAACTCAATCCCCGAAACCAAAAGCCGCTCTCAAAAGGACAAACTCGAAGCCGCTGTTTATCGCGTAGCGTGAAAGAAGGTTAAATCGCTTGCCACCAGACGGCAGGGTCAAGCAGAGTAATTGCAAGTAGCTAGGCTAGGTGGCGCTAGGTACTGCCCAATTCATGTTCTACAAAAATAATTTTATTTTCTTAGGCAGGCCACTATTGCACTTGCGGATCCTCTACTATACACATTACGCATAGTACAAGCATCAGGTGAACACACATTGAGCACATACACATACATGGCACATACAAACCTTTTGCTGACGATTCCGTTATTTACAGGGAAATAAATTCAACGAGAGACATCGAGATCCTGCAGAGCGATCTAGATAAGGTTGAATACTGGTGTAACCAATGGGACATGAGCCTAAATATTGGAATATGTAACCTCGTTAATTTTGCTATACTTCGTTTCAGCTTCGGTCCGAGCGCGGCTGATGTTATGAGCCGAAGGGCCAATCAAACAACGCAAAAGCATGGCGTGCTCTCTGTGCTTGATAGGACTATCCGGCTGAGGAGCACGCACAGAAAGACGGCGAATGCCGGCTGGTCCTATCAACTGTAGGGAGTACGCCATGACGTTGTGCCTCTTTCGCTGTTTGACTGGTCCTTCGGCTCATAGCATCGGCCGCGCTCGGACCTAAGCTGAAACGATGTATAGAAACGTCTCTAAATTTTTTACAAGTTATACTATCAAAAACCTGACAATCGGCAATATCTCTGAGTGTAAATATCTTGGCGTTTATTTTCACCAATCACTTAAATGGAATAAACATATTGACTACACAAATAATAAGGCCAGTAAAATGTTGTTTTTTATCCGTAGAAATTTCAAACACGCGTCCCGAGACGTAAAAGAAACTCTTTACTTCTTGCACGTAAGGTCAATGCTTGATTATGCGTGCGTTATATGGGATCCATACCAGCAGTATCTGATCGAGAGATTAGAGAAACTTCAAAATCATGCAGCGCGATTTGTCAGTAACAGCTACGATCCATACGCTAGTATGACAGAAGTTAAAACCATGCTGGGATGAGAGCCCTTGAGCATTCGAAGGCAAAAATTAAGATTGAAGTTTTTCTAACGCATTTATTATAATCAATCAATCAATCAATCAATCAATCAATGTTTATTAAAGTGTCCAGGAACAACCAATCGGTCTTAGTGCTGGCACACTAAAAAAAATGAGCAAAAACACACACATACAAACACGCATACACACGAGTGCAGAAGGAGAACGTAGTTCTCCAGTCTGAGAATAAAATATTAACAAGTATGAAAAACACTCAGGTTAACAAGGGAAATCAAAAGCACAAAACAGAGACATCACCAGGTGTGAGAGCAAAAAGCAAATACTACATCAGCGCTTCAACTGATCAGCCCTTTTCCTGCAAGAGGAAAATTTGAACAGCATTTCCGAACTTGCTCCCGCATGAGTTAAAAATATCAATTGTGTCAGAGTAGCGATTATAACACTCCGCCGATCTTTGGATCGGGTTTAGGTTGCTAAAATGTCGAGCTATATAAAAAGATGATTGGAGCCGTGTAGGCACACGTGGAACTCTGAGGCTCACTTCGGACAGAAGGCTGGGAGAGTTAATCGAGCCGTGCAGGGTCTTAAACAAAAACAACAAGTCTGCCTTCACCCGACGCTGCTGGAGGCTCAACAAGTTGACAAGTTGCGAGTTACACACACCGTTCAGACAAGGATCACCATTCTCAAGGTAACGATATTTAAAGATAGAAATAAATTTGTTTTGGACTCGCTCGACAGATGAACTGTTAGTTTTGGAAATGCCGTTCCAAACAACCGAGGCGTACTCTAGCTGGGATCTAACTAAGGAACAATACAGCGTAAAAAAAGCGGACGGGCTTTTGAACTCCTTCGTTATGCGAGACACGGCACCTAACGTGCGCAAGGCCGATTGAACCACTTTGATGACGTGAGTGTCAAATCTCAAGGTTGAATCAAAGACAACTCCAAGGTCCCTCAGTTCACTTACACGTGACAGCAGTTCGCCATGATAACTATATGGAAAGAATATATCATGGGTCTTGCGAGAATATGTCATTATTTTTGTTTTAGAATGATTCAAACGGAGGTCATTGTCTAAACACCAACGACCGAAGGAATATGCGTCATTCTGAAGCGCGATGCAATCCTCTAAGGTCGATATTTTTTTGTAAAGTTTTATATCATCAGCGTACTGCAGAAATGAAGAATTTAATATAACTCGAGAGACATCATTTACAAAAATATTAAAAAGGAGGGGGCCCAAGACAGATCCCTGAGGCACTCCAGAGCTTGCCTTGTACAAGGATGAGGTAGTATTGTTGACGCGGACGTAGGCATGCCTATCAGACAAATAGCTTTTTAACAAATTGTATACCGAACCACATACTCCGTACGAAGAAAGCTTGTATAAGAGGATGTTGTGGTTGACTACGTCGAATGCCTTACTCAGGTCGAAATAAAAAACGTCAAGCTGACCTCTATTACAAACTACTTCAGAGGCAGCAGACATAAAAGATACGAGATTGGTGGATGTCGATCTGCCGGACATGAAACCATGCTGATTAGGAATGACTATACTACGAAACTTGAAGGAGAGAAATTGATGGATTACCATTTCAAAGAGTTTGGAAAAAGAAGAGAGAAGAGAAATCGGCCTGTAATTAAGAACATCACCACTATTTCCAGATTTCAGTACCGGAACAACCATTGCCAGTTTCCAGTCGTCAGGGAATATCCCTGACGTCAAGGAGTTATTGAAAATTGTGCACAGTATAGGCGTAAGTAATTCATGATAAGCCTTAACAATTGCAGCGGGTATCCCGTCATGACCTGCAGACAATGTGGGTTTCATATTCTTAATACATAGCCTAACACATTCCTCATCGACAACCACAGAACCTAATGAGTCGCCAAAAACGTCCGAGTGAGGCAAAATAGATGAGGAGCAGTTATTATTATTAATGTAAACTGACGCAAAGTGATCAGCAAACAACTCAGACATGCCCTTCGCACTGTCGCTATGCTGATTCAAGACGATTTCGGACTCAATATTCTTCCCCAAGCGCGATTTAGCGTACCTCCAAAATTTCTTGGGATTTTTAACAAGATCTGATTCCACCGAGTCAGAATGCGCCTGGCGATCACGGTTTAAAATTTTCTTACACCGCTTTCTGCAAATTTTAAATTCAACTTCCCACTTTGGAAGACCACTTTTCTTAAACCTCCTGTGCAAAAAATCTTTCCGTTTTAAAAGCGTTCTGAGTTCACGAGAGAACCAGATAGGGAAGCGAGATTTTTTAGACGTTTTAAGAGGGATATACATGTCCATAGCCTCCTGAACAACAGTTGTGAGGAGATATACTTGGCCGTTGATATCAGACGACTCCAGGATAGAAGCCCAGTCAACACCCGAAAGATGGTGATACATTCCAGTGTAGTCCCCCGCTGAATACTTATATGATGTGTGTGGGGAAGGACCATTAGAGGGACTGAGGACCGGAGGATCAAAAATAGAAAGAACTACATCAAGAGCAGGGTGATAGCTATCCTCAGGAACCATAGAAAGTTCACTTCGAGCCACATGTATACCGTCCGTGTTTGAAAAGCATAAATCTAAAGCATTACCTTGGTCGTTTAGAATGTTTAGAATACTGGTATTAATAAGAATGAGTATCTTTTGGGGCCAACGTATGTTTCAGCTAGTTGTAATAACTCTAGAAAAGTTTTTGAATATTCCTATAAAACAAACAGCTTCTGTCATTCTTTTTTTGTAAAGACAATTAGAGAGTGGAACTTGCTGCCTGATGATGTGGTGAGCACCCTGGACAGCAGTGTATTTTGTTCTCGGCTGTATATCTAATCTGTGCGGACAAGTGATCACTTTGTTTTTATGTATGTGTGTTATTTCCCGCCCCTCCTACAATAATGCCCTCGAGGCGATGTAGGTACTCTGTAAATAAATAAATAATAAATAAATAATACAACGGCACACCACACTAACCCGAACACTACACCCGGACTCTGCGTTTCCGTATTTTTCACTGGTCGTTTTGAGCGTACGGAATTTCTCGGTGACTGAATAAGTAATAAAAAATATTCCCAGCATGTTGATTTTTTTTTCACCAATGTCATACCTCTGAGAGTATTTTGAATGGCTCAGGGGATGAATATCCTACTAAGAAGCA